GTTAGAAGCAATTCTTAATGGTTAGGGTTAATCTTAGCATGTAATCTTAAGGCTTAAAGATTATAAAAATTGACCATTATGATGATGTCTGAGATTCTTCTACAAGCCACATACTTAGTAAAAAATACTGGGAAACGTTTTGTCATTGCAGTTTTCCGAAATAATTTAGACTAAACACTGGGAATTTACATTTGGCTGAGCACCCAACCGGACCATCTGTTCCAGCACCCCAAAGACCAAGTTTAAGAAAACTGAAATAGGCACAATAGGCCATGGCCTTCCATGGGCTGTCACAACACTGAGATAAGTTTAGTATAAATAAGCTTATTTATCTTATTTTTATAGAAATAGTATTAGTCTTTATATGAATGGCAAGTTATGAGGACAGCCGACCGGTCTGTGTAGGGGGCAGGGAACTGTCCTTGCATCAGAAAGGTCCTGGGTTCGAATCCCGGGCAAGGCATGGATGTGTTTTCCTTCTCTATACTACTTTGGCTCACCTAATATGGTGCCCCTGAAAGTCGCCCTGCAAATGCCTGAATTGTCGGATGTTAACACAGGTGGGCTTTGGAAAAAAAAAATATGAGGACGAAACATTATGCTGAATAAAATATGCTGCAGTTATAGTGCACTGCATTAAAAAAAAGTTCAGATTTTTTTTGCAGAAAAATCATGATTTGATTCACAAATATTATGTAATTTATAATGATATAGCTACTTATAATTTATAATGATATACAAAATATGTCTTGCGCGTTTTTGAATATTGAATTTTTGTTGGGTTAAATTATTTGGTAGGGTATAATTTGTTTCTAAAAAATTATTTCAGTGGTTTTTAAATTAAATAAAAAAAAAGCAATGAAAGAAGCATGATTTAAATAATTGCGAAGCTCGCAAAACAGCATTTAACTTATCCCTATTATCGTAAACTAAGGCTTAATACGGCAATTTCTTCTTTAATATTCAATATTTATGACATGCTTCAAATGAAATGGCTAGAAAAATAGCACGGAATATACAAAATAAATTGCAAATTCCTTTTATAAAAAAAATCTTGCATTTTCTATCCATAACAACCACCTTTTGCCTGTAACTGTCATGAAAAAAAACTTTTTTTTCAACTCTTTAACGTCACTTCTACATGCTTTCCCCTCTAATCACCTCTACAACCGTAAGCCGTAAAAGACACAGCGTTACCATTTTGCTGCCCGGGCGCTTCTGAAAAGTGTCTCTAAAAATGCAAGGAGGCAATTCTGCTCCATGCATTTTGGAGCTTTTATTTTTTGCTCCTAACGTACTAACAGTGTCCTTAGGCTGGGATACAGATAAGCGCAGTGGACTGGAAACTGCTTTCTAAGTGGAAGTAGTGAATGTAACACGTTTGTTACAACTCTCACAATGGAAAAGTTGCCTTTTTTTTCTGGCAGTCGAAAAATTTTTATGGGAAAGCGTGCAGGTGAAATTACTAAATCGATATTTGGATCAAAGGAGAAGGGTAGTTTTTAAGGTTGAGTTTGTTGTTGTGTATGGATACATTTTTTTTAAGAATTCGGAAGGGATCATCAATCAATGATGACGCTTGTCTGCTGAAAAAGGGAATGAATTTCTTATTCAATGAAAACTTAAAAAGTCAAACTTAAAAAGTCAAACATTAAAAAAAGTAACTATTTACCCTCATATGGATTGCATTTTAACAAATTTATTTCCAGCTTTTTTTAAAAAAAATATTGAAAAAAATATATTGGTTAGAATTTTTATTCTAAAATTGCAGTAAAATAACCGTCTAATAATCTAATTAACCGTAAAATTTACGTTAAAGACCATTTTTTACCCAAACGGGTTTTGAAACCGTTTCTAACTAGTTTTAACATCCATCAATGAAAAAATATGTATTTATTTTTAAACCATTTACAACTAAATGAAAATACTATACTTTAATTTTTTGCGTTAAGTAACCTAATGGTGCTATCAATAATGTGGGAATGAGAGTGTTGCCTTCTAATAGACTCTAAAATTGCTGTAAAATAACCGTCTAATCATCTAATTAACCGTAAAATTTACGTTAAAGACCATTTTTTACCATAACGGGTTTTGAAACCGTTTATAACTAGTTTTAACATCCATTATTAAAAAAATATGTATTTATTTTTAAACCATTTACAACTAGACGAAAATACTATTCTTCAATTTTTTGTGTTAAGTAGCTTAATGGTGCTATCAATAATGTGTGAATGAGAGTTTCGTATTCTAATAGACTAATGTCTCAGATTGGGGAGTGCGGGGCACTGGAAGGGAATGGAGGAAATATTGTTGTGTCAACACTAGGACTCAGCAAATTCTGCTGTCTGA